CCCGGTGGCAAAAATAAGACCAAATCTGAATCTGTCATTTATTTCGCCACACAATATCACCTTCTTACGGCAGTGTCCAGTACGAAAATCTGAGATAAATGGTGAAGTTGTTTTATTATATCTGTGGCATACTGATGGAATCTCTTATAACCAACATCATCGAAACACTACCACAGTGACGTGGTCGTTTAAGTTCGGAAGTTCACCACCGGTGAACAACGAAAGCATCTGAAAAACGCGCGACTTTTCTTCCTACAAGAGAACGTTCGTCTGAAGAAATGAGGGGCTATCTCGTCATGCACAGCACATGCTTGGACGTAAAGCCCACGTCTAGAGTGCATTCTACTTTTACATCACATCTGATCACCATTTTTCCAAGCACCTCGTCAACTACCTGCAACCGAAAATCTTTAACGACCACTCGCTGAAAATGTCCATGGGGAAGTTGCTGCCTCCAACATTCCGGAATTCTATGTCAGTGGAATAAGAAAAAAGCCGTATTTTTTTACCAGGAAAAAAACGTTTGGATTCAAGTAGATCACATTTTGCTTTAAAACTGTGTGTGGAGCCAGCTAAAATGCCGTCCAAAATCTACTGTTATTCTATAAATCAACCTAATATTACGAATAATTTTTCTTCACTTGCCGGCTAAAGTAGAGAACAAATATCCAATAATGTTTCTTTTTTGATCAAAACTCACAAGAAATCTGAGCACTTGGTGATCTGTATCCTGGTGCTTTTCTAGGAAGTTCTTTGTCTACATGAAGTGGCGTGCTCAAAAGGCTGACAGGAGCTGGCATGCTTGTAGCTTGAACCATATTTCCTTCGGATTTGTTAGAAAACGAAGTGGAAATAGTAGAAGCAGTAGATGGGGAAGTGTATTTTAAAGAAGACTCAGCACAATTGAGTAGAGAAATATTTAACACTGAAGAAGTTGATGAAGAAAGTGCATCCAACGCTGAAGGATAGGTGACCATTGAAGTAGGAGAAATAGTTTCCTTCGCAGCAGTGCTAACTGGAAAAATACGAACGTACTAATCTAAATGGGGGCTCCATTTACAATAAGAATGCGAACAACGTACCGTTAACCGTCTGTTGCTGTTGCTGCTCTCGCTGACGTGCAGCCATTCGCTGTTGCCAGACGTTCGCCGTGACCGGTGCCATCGGTGGTTTAGATGACGATGATGTTGTCGAGTTCACAGTTGTAGTCACAAGCGCCGTAGTTTTGGTATCATGTAAATTATTCGAACGCGATCCACTTTCTGACGAAATTGTTGAAGGAGTATTTCCGCGGAGAACCTGGGAACACATATTTAAGTGTACAATACGGACACGTCGAAATGCACAGTTTTACACCCAATCTGTTTCCTACAAGACATTACCAACACTACAAAGCATGGTGGTGAGATACAGCCGGAGAAATGCAATTAAAATATTGTTAAGTAAACAAACGGAGTCCAAAAATTTTCTTACTAAATAGTTCCTTTAGCACATATTTTTTTCGTCAAGCCCTACTGTGAACATTAAATGAAACTGAACAAGATGCGGTGATGTTGCCCGTGGCAACAACGACTCTTGCGTTAAAGTCTTTAGAAACTGAATGTTGTTTTCAATTGTTAGAGAAGTTGGACGTTATAGAAATACAGGATGAAAACGTTTAAAAAAATTATACACAAGAGTTATACGTGACAGTCGAAATGCAAGGATTTCATGTTTCCAACTTCTCAAGTAATCTCATTATAGAAAAATTATCGGTAAGTGTGGAAAAAAGGCGATGTTGCAAACATGTTAAAGTACATAGTCGTTACAAACTTTTGCAAATGACTCACTACTTGACTGCTAAAAATATCACGGCATCACTGCATAACCACAAATCATTTAAAAGTGTGTATCCATTCCTTAAACGGACTTACGTAACAAGAAAAAACTCAACTTTGACGGACTATTGATGCAGAAGAGCTCAGTAAGCGAATTAAACAGTGAGAAGGTTGGATGTGCCATGCATAAAAGCATGGTCGATTGACCCCACCCCCTGCTAAACGACAATGTAACATCGAACCACACTTGTTTAGGAAAAGCTTCGTAAAGGTTCATGATTCCTTGCTGTACAGAATCAGGAATGCTTTAAGAAATCTAAAACAGGATTTTGAGAAAAAAATCAATTTGGGCAGTACTGAACGTTCATGAAAAAGACAAAAACCTGAAATAGCAGAACTCAAAGCCAAATCCAACTATACTCGTAGGTGATGGATGCAAGAAAACGAACCCAATAACAGAAATTCTGAGATCCATACAGTATTCGTACAAAACAAATCATATTAATAAGTAAACAGATATTCAAGGCAAAACAAAGAGATAAAACCTCCACAAAGGATTTCGGCTGTATTAGAATCTCGTCCGACCAGTGAAAACGTAAAGATTGAAGTATCCCAAAACTCACTTGTCTTATTACTTCGGTTACTGAGATGTCATTGTCAGCAATGAGGCCATTGATCATTTGCGTCGCATTTCTGAAAGTGCATAACGGAGGAATAAAACACGTAAATACGACTAATAACGGGATTTCAACCAAAGCTTCTTGATCGTGCGTTACCATAACAATTTCTCCCCTAATCAAAAACCTATGCTTTTGAATTGAATACTTCTGGAAATGTGGATGAAGAAATCGCAAGACCAACTTCCTATTCATCTCGAAATTGATAAATAGTTCACTATTTCCTCGATGCGCAAATATGAGGTTGTTATTTATTATACAATATTTATTTATAACAGTTGTCGTCACAGCGGATTTAGACTCCTTCAAATTCTGTAAAGGTCAAGTTAGCCGCAATCACGTCAGCTAAACACCTCCATGATCAAAACAAACAAATCAAGACACCCAGTTTTCAATTTTCCAATCGCATTTGGTTTGAAACAGCTTGTTTCCACACTCACTAGCGTTTTGAGCCTTCTATTGCGTATTCCATGTGGAGACCAACCGTATAGAGCTCACATGGATGGGGCAATGAGCAACTGTCATGTTGAAATATCAGTAAGAAAAAAATAACAAATCCTTAAACACTTAGTATCTCTAAATATCTCTGAATATCTCATACCAATATTTTAACGTGAGTGTTGCCAATTTCTCCTAACAGTTTACCGCCTCGTCGTGGCTAAGAGTTGTTCCTGGGTGTCGGACTGCGAGGTAACGCGGGGAATTCGTCTCCTGACAGGATCTACGAAGGTGAGAAGAAGTCCGGCGTTTCCATCAGGAAACCTAGCTAAGATTAAATCAATGCCATGATTCATCACCGTCCTGGTATCAAAGTCGCATGGTGACAAAACTCCCTCTGATTCACAAAGGCTTCGATTGCCTGTGGCGGCGGGGAAGATGGGGCAGACTTTGGCCAGCCTGACCTCGCGATTCGAAGGAACCACAATGGCTTAACCAGCAAATCTCGGGAAAATGGAGATTATGCTGGGGCCCACAAAAGTGAGGAAGGGCCATTCAAGTATCAAGTCAACTAAGTTGTCGATTACCCAACTGTTAGGTCTGTACGGTTGATCTCCCCATAGAATATTCAGTGGAAGACTACAAATCCAATGCGATTGGAAACTGGTATGATGATTTTTCTGCTGAGGTTAAGGAGGATTTTAGCTGAATAAGTTGCAGTTCACGTGTGGCGCAGTGGTAAAAAGTTCCCCGGGACACACATGAGATCGACTCTAGCGCCCGTGGCCCACTAAGCATTCCCATCCCTCCGTTGTCGGCAAATTGGTACATACCTCTCTGGGCGGATTGCAGCACTGGCCCGATACATCGGTAGGCCATTGCGAGTCACTGTAAAGGCCAGATATGCGTTCAATCACCTCGAAACGATGCTTAATAAAGTCGAATGCATGGCGCATTGTTAAGAGATTGATCAGCGCCGAGAGCTCTTTTTAGGTTGCGGTTAACTTGACCATTCCAGGCTCCAAAGGTGAGATTCGTGAAAACATAAGACACTGCGGTTAAATACAATGTAATAACAAGTTCTCGTGTGCTTACCAAGAAAACTAAAATGAAGAATACTAAAACCTTCTAATGTCGCAACCACATCTAGGAAAAGAACGACACTACTATGGCACCATCAACTATTTAGAAAATTTTGGCTTAATGGTATCGATGCTCATCAAACCACGACCTTTTCCACAGGTTAACACACGAGACTGATTGGCTATTTATTCATCCGCGAAAATGCAGAATCTCCTACATGTACAATCTCTCACCCCTCTCGTGTAACAGTACTAACTGATGCACAAACTTGCGTTGCGACTACATACACATTGCGCTCATTCAATGATCCCTAAAAGAACTTAGAACTGCTAGGTTTCCTACAATATTATTCCCTTCTTTTATTCAAAATTGGAAAGCTCTTGAAGCGCTGAAACGCATCAAAATATCACATTATACTAACAGGTCACATGTAACGTTAGTAAGATATTACTAATAGGCACTAGTTAACGCTAATCGTAAAGCATCTAATTTCCGAGCCCTTTCCACTACAAAATCCTCTTTAGATGGTTCTAAACAGTTGCAAATCGAACAGGTGTGGGTTTACTTAATTCCACCAAACCCCTCAATTCATCGCCGTCAATTACAGAAGGACGTCTGCAACCTGCCTCTTCTTCAAGGTCGAATTCAACAAGAACAAATCCTTCATGCATTTGCACCAATAATTCCCTGAGTTGTACAAAAGGAAACTGCCGAGTGCAGTCAGTTCATTCGAGTGGTCCTCCACTGGATTCGATTTAGTCTGGTCACGAAGACTCACATCGGAAGAATGAATGAACGTGGACAGTTGAGTTGAATCAATGAGGCTTTGACGAAGCCGAAGGCGCCGAAACCTTAGCCACAATGGAGTTTTTCAACGAACTCGAGTAAGTTCAATAGTACAAGAAAATACGTTAATTGTTGTTAATATACCCAAGACCGATTTTCTGTTAACCTCGGAATTGATTGATAATTCGATGTTTTTTTTTCAATACGCAGACACGAGGTTGTTGTTATAGAATTCATTAGGATACAATGGCTGACGTTTCGGCAGTTTCGCCTTCTTCAGAGTCTGGAAAGGTCAAATTGAGATGTTTTTAATATAATTATTCAATCAATGCCGAGGTTAATAGAAAGTCGGTTGTGGGAGTTATAAGTTGTAAATTTTCGTTTCACTAGACACTTCAACTCCACTAACTTCTTAACGACAAATAAAATAAGAGAACTAGCTGAGCAACAGTCGAAACGAAGGACCCGCATGGTGTGGTGGTGAACGCGCTAGTCTCCAGAAAAGGCACAGCGCTTTCATTCCCCACCGCAGACACCTGCCGTCTGGAGTTTTGCAAATATCTCAGCATCACTGTGATTGTATTTCGCATCATACTCTGCTGTGAAAAAATATAGTAGGGAGTAAATAAAAAGTTAACATTGTAAAATAAGAGAATTTATAAGCTCCTAAGAGCTCGAGCCAATTATAATGTTCAAATTACGACGAGCGAAAAGAAAAAATCTCGATATTTTAGGTATTAAGTCATATTTTTATGCTAGAAAGCCCAATAGGCTTGGAAAACACATTACAAAACCGAGACTTCCTTTCCGTTTAACTGTTGTGCAAAATGTTATAAGGACAAGGACAATAGCGTGTTCGTTCCCCACCATAGACACCTGAGGTCCAGAGTTTTGCAAATATCTCAGCAACGTTGTGTTGTGCAAAAATTAGAACGAACAACACATACCTAACAGTTTCCTGGGTACCCCGGATGCAAATTTGGCGATCGTGCTGATCACGGCGTACGGCCGATTGTTTCTCCACTTCAATGGATGCACCAGTGGCCTCACGAATGGCATTAATGTTAGCACCACCTCGACCAATCACTCGAGCAATCACACTGCTACCTACACTGAGTGTTGAAGAGCGACGTCGAGACTGCAATCATTACCATTATTATAAGCATAACTATACATAGCAGCAGTGGTTAAGTAGTAAAATTGGGAATAACAATGACAACAAATAGTGATAGATGAGACAAACTTATTGTAGTGACGAATACTAGTAATTAACAAAAACAAAAGCGATAATAGACAACAGCAATAATAATAATAATAATAACAGTAATAATAATAATAATGGAGGTTTGGGAAGTGAAACTACATGAGGTATCGTGCAATACACCATCGGTTCTATCCTGCATTTCAGTGCAACTAAGCCCCCTCCCATCATTCCGAGGTTGGCAATTTGGTACCAGACCTGTCTGAAAAGAGTTTACTCCTTTCCACAAAGACTAGCGATAGTTCGTTCCCCACCATAGATACCTGCGGTCCACAGTTTTGCAAATATCTCAGCAACGTTGTGGTTGTATTTCGCTTAGTAACCTGCCATGAAAATTATAGAAGGCAGAAAACAAAACGTTAAACATTGTGATTTCAACTACAGCCATAACTTAACTGGGTTCTATGCCGATTTGCGCTCCCCAGATCAACCCCGCTGACGGGTGATTGCTGTGGCAAAAAGATCGATAGAAATAGCTGAGAGACGTGCGAAACAAAGGACCCGCATGGTGTGGTGGTGAACGCGTTACTCCCCGGAAAGGACAATAGCGCGTTCGTTCCCCACCATAGACACCTGCGGTCCAGAGTTTTGCAAATATCTCAGCAACGTTGTGGTTCTATTTCGCTTACTTAGTAACCTGCCATGAAAATTATAGAAGGCAGAAAACAAAACGTTAAACATTGTGATTTCAACTACAGCCATAGCTTAACTGGGTTCTATGCCGATTTGCGCTCCCCAGATCAACCCCGCTGACGGGTGATTGCTGTGGCAAAAAGATCGATAGAAATAGCTGAGAGACGTGCGAAACAAAGGACCCGCATGGTGTGGTGGTGAACGCGTTACTCCCCGGAAAGGACAATAGCGCGTTCGTTCCCCACCATAGACACCTGCGGTCCAGAGTTTTGCAAATATCTCAGCAACGTTGTGGTTCTATTTCGCTTACTTAGTAACCTGCCATGAAAATTATAGAAGGCAGAAAACAAAACGTTAAACATTGTGATTTCAACTACAGCCATAGCTTAACTGGGTTCTATGCCGATTTGCGCTCCCCAGATCAACCCCGCTGACGGGTGATTGCTGTGGCAAAAAGATCGATAGAAATAGCTGAGAGACGTGCGAAACAAAGGACCCGCATGGTGTGGTGGTGAACGCGTTACTCCCCGGAAAGGACAATAGCGCGTTCGTTCCCCACCATAGACACCTGCGGTCCAGAGTTTTGCAAATATCTCAGCAACGTTGTGGTTCTATTTCGCTTACTTAGTAACCTGCCATGAAAATTATAGAAGGCAGAAAACAAAACGTTAAACATTGTGATTTCAACTACAGCCATAGCTTAACTGGGTTCTATGCCGATTTGCGCTCCCCAGATCAACCCCGCTGACGGGTGATTGCTGTGGCAAAAAGATCGATAGAAATAGCTGAGAGACGTGCGAAACAAAGGACCCGCATGGTGTGGTGGTGAACGCGTTACTCCCCGGAAAGGACAATAGCGCGTTCGTTCCCCACCATAGACACCTGCGGTCCAGAGTTTTGCAAATATCTCAGCAACGTTGTGGTTCTATTTACTAGCGATAGCTTCAAACGAGGATGTGGCAATGCCCTTGCACAACAACACCAGGATTCTAAGGAGATCTATTGAATTGGTGCTAAAACATTTGCGTAAAGAAGGTAAAATCCTCAAATGGAAGCCGAACACAAACAAAATTCGAATACTTACGTGGATGATGGATGCTAAATTGGATAGAAGTGTGAGTCAACTTCGTATGCACACATAAATACATAATATATGCATGCATATATTACATATATATGTGTATATATGTATGTATATATGCATGCTATTAGTACACATGCAGTACATAATAGCAATGAAGTATTATCACTACTAAATAGTCAATTAATGGCTATATTCCTGATAATAACAGTAAAACGTTGTAAACAACAAAATAAGGCTAAGAAATAATTATAGTAACAATCCCCAGAGTATCGCAGTATCGAGTTATAGTATCGCATAATTGTGGTCGGGAATGTTGCTGAGTGTCGAACGGGATGTACGGCGAGAAAAAATTACTTCTCTCATTATAGTTTGGGAAACTGAGAAGAAAAGCGCCGACAATCCTGGAAGAATTTCATTCGCAGACCAGAAAACCGGAAAAATACCTAGAAACAACGTCGAAGGCTCTCTTAGGATTTCAAGTAAAACCACGTTTCCCCAGATTTTAAAACGGTAAAGCTAAAGGATAAAGCTCTCAGCATTGATCAACCCATTCAACACGAGATATTTCCCACCCGTGCAACGATTAAGCTCCTAATTGGAAAAGACAACGATCATTATTCGTGGAGTTCTTTCGATCCTTGTACCCAGGCAACCACTTTCTCAGCTTGCCAGAGTTATGAAAAGTTTGTCAATTCGTTTTCCTAAAACACTAAAAAGCTCTCGGCGTCGATCAATCCCAGAGGGATACGCCATGCATTCGACTTCATTGAGCATCATTTAAGTTGAAGGAATGCATATCTGGCCAATACAATGACTAGCGGTGGTCTACTGATGAATGTATCGCTAAACTGTCAAAAAAGGCTGGTATCAATTTGCTGACGCCGGAGAGATGGAAGGCTCGGTGAGACTGGAACATGGAATCGAACCCATGTGTATTGCAGAGCACATCTAAACACTTGGCTACACGGGTCCCATTTAGAACGTTACTGAAGCAAAAATCCATAAAACTCTATGTCGTTGCTGTAACCTCCGTTCAAGCTCCACTACTTAGATGAATAACAGTACCATGACAGCGAAACTAACAGAAGTGATACGAACGGCACAACGTGTAAAGATGAGCTTTCTAAGTATCCAACCAAGTAGGTAGTTAATGATAACAATAGCGACAACGATAGTAGTAACAATAAGAAATAGTAAAAGTGCTCATAATAATAACGATATTAAAGGCGACAATAATGCATATAAACAGCAATTGCCACAACAAATTGAAAGGCTAACCAATTCTACATCCTTCCAACCACTATAATTATCGTCTAAGTAAAAGTCCTTTCCAACTGAACAGACCGTACTATTCTTTGGTCTACTCGACTGCAAATAAAATAATCACGATGTGTGCTCGTTATGAAAAAATAAACATACCGCTTTAGACTTCTTGCTCGCTTTCACCCAATCATCTGCGTGCACAGCACTTTTTGAAACGAGAACCGACGGAACAGCATTTTTTGAAGAAACAACAGTGTTACTTAGAGGAGTTAGTGTTTGACCGTTTGAACCTTCAATGACATAAAACTACGAAGAATAAATTGGAACCAATGAACTAAACACAAATTACACAAAACTACTAAAATTCACTTTTTCCACTTTCATTACGGCTGCGACGAATAGCCGACCGCTTCTGCTGCCGATTGAGGGAGACGCTGGAGCGCTCACTAACAACCGAAGAAGGTAGTTGTTCTTCAACAGCACGCATTTTGGGGACACGATCGTTGTTCTAAGAAAAGAAGAAATGATAATAGAAAATCAGAAAAACTTCGAAAATTAAGTAGTGGCAATGATTTGTGAAGAAACTAAAACCAACCATTGCATCGACAGCAGCAGAAGTTTTCTCCTTTTTCACTGCCAAAGAGTCAGACCCGTCATCAGAATAATCCTGCGTATAACATTATTTGTATGCGCTGGGCGAACTGTGTATAAATATCCAAACAAACAAGTTCTCAAAACGTTAAATCAGTCAAACTTAAGGAAATGTGGATCAACGCTCTTGGAGTGACGATTTTAGCAAAAGTGTATGACTAACTGAGTATCACACATTGAACAAAGTTTACCATGCCAAAGTGTTTTCACAGCTCAAATACGTCAACATACAGTCACATGTAACCGTAAATTTTCGAATTTACTTCTTTAAGATCCTGTGATCATATTATATTCATCACTCAGAGCCCGATATCAATTAATTTCCACTCGTAAACGCGAGTATAATGGTCGCTTCCAAATATAAATCCAGATATTTCAACCCTTCATTATCCTTACTGATTGAAATAAAATCCATTAAGATCTACAAACCTTTGTGAATAAGATGAAATGCTTCTTATTTAATCAATGTCAAATACAGTGAAGCCATTGTTTAAAACTCCTACAGCACAAATCTATAACGTTTCAGGAAGTGTCGATGAAGTTTGTGGATTCCCAGCTTGAGAGCCTTAAAGAATGAAATTTGGTCTCAGGAGGTGGTTTGCGCAACGCACTGGTACCGTTCATTATGTGCAAGGCCGAATGGATACATGCGGATACACACATTATTTCGAACCGCTACAAGTCCATCAAGCTTCCCTCGGAGGTAGGAAAATTGGTACCAGAACTGTCCGTCACCAAAGCATTCTCCTCAGTAAAAGTACAAATGTCTTATGACGGTTATCTCGGCATTTAAAACAGAATCAACCCCACCAATACTCAACCACTCTCATAATGAAGACCAAAACATTTCAAGCAGTAGTCGAACCTATAAGGGAAAGTTTGGAAACCTTCATGGTTGATGGATGCGAGTGAACGATTCGTGTGCAATAAATGCTACAGTACTCGATTCTGAGTCATGTGGAGAAAAATTCGTTCCCATTTCTGGAAATTTTAATTCTAAGCAGCTTTAAAAACCAAACATGTTTGGAAAAACTCATCTATTTTAAAGCAGACAGAGTAAAGCTCTCAAATCCTTAAGCTCCCTAAATAAATCACAAATAAGCCATTCGACGTTGACCAAACTCAGAGAAATTCACCATGCATTCGATTTCACCGAGCATTGTGAAGGTGATATTTGATCCGATGGCATCATGAACAGTGACCTTCGATAGCATGTAATGTCAGCGTCGAAATATGAGGATAGACGCAATAAATTGGAAAAAATAAATTTCGTGGAGTCCAGAATATTAGAATCTCAGCATGTAAAAAAAATAGAACGATTATCTTATAGGCAAAGATTTGTAGATCCTAGTAATTTCAATTAGTAAACCTGACAATGAGCTGAGAACTGTTTGTTTAAAGCTGGAAGCGGACATTATTTTCCCGTGTGGCTTCTATACAGTTCACGATGAAGCGAATGTGTTAAAATAGACTGAACCTCTACCTAATGAATCGTGAACTCTACTAGAAAATAAATGTAATGACAACCACTTCAAATATTAAGTAAAATTGTTTTTTGACATATGCGAAACATGCACCTCGCTCTCTTCCTTGACTCGATTAATCGGTGAAGACTGCTGTACCCGAGTTTGTGTCTCAGCAGGTGTCGCAACATTACGCTCCTTTTCTGTAAAATCTTGTTTTTTCGCCTTCTTCTCCTTCCTCTTTTCCTTTTTGCGCATCTTCGCCTGCTTTTTGGATCGCGCAGCTTCCTCCTAGAGAAGAACAACGTTTTAAAACTCCAAATTCAAACTATAACACAGGATAATAATGCATTCTATCACCAATTACCTCTTCAGCGAGAAGTGCTAAAAGACTTTCAGCAGCACGATTCGCTTCCTCAGCTTGGGCATTCTTTGCCTTTACAATAAGGTCCATGCATTCTCGACAGTTTTGCAGGAGATCCTGCAACCATTATCAATATCAAAAGTATACCATTACTTTGGATTAACCTCTGGACACCACATTGTTAACAAAGTGCACATCTTATGATAGTCACCTGTCTTGTATTTGTTTAAATTTTACATTTAAAAACTCACTGCCTCACTTATCGTTGTGAGGTAACGAGACAACTCTTGATCACCTGGAAATTGGCGTACGTGTTGAACCATGTGTTGAACTACCTGAAATAAAAAATATTGGCCTAATAGCCATCTTCCGTCATAAACATGACATAGTAGGCTAAAAATTTGGAGTCTGATCACGAGAGATTTTTAAATAGCACAAAAAAACAAAAGAACACAATCGCGCGTATTTTTCGACCCCATTTCTCAATTCCGTTCTCGCAAAAAATCTCTTGATACAGCAATGAAGAAAAAAGCTACATCTGCCGCACTTTTGAATTGTACTGTAGCTGTCAGAATGCTAGCTGCCGTTTCACTGAGTTTTCAAATCTAACACTAACGCTGAGTGCTCTGCCAGCTGATTGACGCTGCTACCTTTACTTCTTGCCCACTAAATTCTGAAGGTAGATGCTTTTAATAGCTCTGTACGTGAGACCAACCTTAACGTGACCTTTTCGAAAAGCTACCATCAACGGAGACATCTTACGATTGTCTTGCATGTCAACGTCAGCACCATGTTTGACCAACGTCTGCACAGTTTCTAGATGCCCACCATGACATGCTAACCACAGTGCAGTACAACCCTGAAGTACAACTGATAACAATAAAAAACTTCTTTCGACTATGTAGCAATTCGATGAGTACACCTGTAAAACGATAACAATATTACACTTGGTAAATCACACATTCGAAACGTAAGGTAAACATGTACACGTAACAAACTATTCCATGAGTGAAATCAAAAAGGTATAAACCAAAACTGGAAGTCAGCCTAGGTTTCGAAATGTAATATGAAACAAGTCGTGCAACAATATTTTACCTTAAACTATCTAACGCTTCACTTAAAGGTAGCGCTATGGCATCAACTCCATTCATTGCGCCGACAGCCCAACCTACCCGGGTCCTTGTTCGACCCCACACAAGACCCATCAACCTTCTCGTCTCATCGGAGTCGGAAAAGTGGTGGGAATGGTACCAGACTTTACAGGATAAGGCCACTCCCTGCAATCCACATGCGAACGTTCTAGCGCAGCTATCCCAGAACATCAGGAAGAATCGACACAAGAAGTATTCAATGACATTCGTGATAAAGACAAAAAAACACCTAAGCAGCAGTCGTATAGCAACTATTCCCAGAGTAGTTTCTATTTTCTATATCTATTTCTATCTTTCTATTACTGTATGTTTCTTTAGTAAGGATAATATTCACTGTTTCTCAAGTTGCCTAGTAAATGTCGAAGTACGTAAATATTCGTACAAGGCCGCTAGCCGGCCAACTTATGCTGTGTATTTGTTAAACCGCTATAGGCTTATCATTTCTCAGTCGTTATCTTTCTGGCTCATGATATCTTAGGCAATGGTGGCACTCATCGATGCTCAAACTTCACGCTGCAGACATATCGTTATCTAAGACCAGTCGCCTGACCGTGTTCATCTCGTTCGTAGTCACTTGCACCATCAATGCTAAAGTAACTTGCTATCGTCATCGATTAATGTGGAAGTGCGCCCAACCGCTGTAGATATGATCCCAAGCACGGCCTAATGCACGGCTCTTTTATATCTCACTGTTGTTTTTCTAGACCTCGGCATCTGGGCCACTGTACGCGCCAGTGCGGGTGCCATCATCCGCGTCCCCTTACTCGCCATTGTTATCAAGTTGCTGTTATCATAGTACTAGTGTTGTAATAAAATTAATGTTGTAATAGTATTATTTACAATACTCTTACACCTTTGTTAGCCTCACTTCAGAAGTAGGTACAGCATCTCATAACCTTGAACTTGCCTTATTTGTGTGCCAGTAGTTTTTCGTCGATATCATTGTTGTATCGGTGCTGCATTTATGTATATAAACGGTTTAACTTCCCACGTTTGAGGTATTGCCTTGTGACAACCACGAAAAGTCTCGCGTGGCGTCCTCTCATGAAGTCGGCCATTCTGCTTAAAGCTAGTGTCTATTTGGTGCCGAGAACTGACTCGAAGGTCTATTTTCCATTAGCAACTGCACTACGTCGAAGTCATATGCAAAAAAGTTTGCAGACCTTTAAGAATGGTGGATATGAGGAAACGAATCGAATGCAAGAAAAGCCTCGATCCGCACAGCGTGACATATGTGATTTTGGTCATGCAACTACTAAATAGTAATAAACGCTTCTCCTATGAAGTAAAGTTGGCACCTTCAGCAATAATAGCAACGGTGGAGTGATAATTTGACTGCTGAAAACAAGATACGTGAGAAAGTGACAACTAAAAACTAGACTGTGGTTGTGACCATTACGATAAAACCCCGAATGAATTCGCCATAAATGGAATATCAAATGAAAATACAAAAAACTGTCCAGCCACCATGGTATAAATCTATGGAAAATTAATGATTGCTCCTACCTTTTTATTTCTAGCGTCGATATGAGCTCCTCGATTCACTAACATATCAACAAATCGTTCATGACCCTTGTCTGCGGCGATAGTGAGAGCAGTATCACGACTCGAGGGTACTGGGGCAGTGTTAGGATCAGCGCACGCATCCAAAAGTAATTCTCCAACCTCGACATATCCTCCATTTGCTGCTTCCATAAGTGGAGTAAGACCAGTCTAAAAATCCTTTGCTATATTATAAAACTTCCCAGCGGTTCGCCGCGTCATCGGGGCTGGGAGGTGTTCCTGGGTGTCGAACTGCGATGTGCAGCGGGGATTCATCCCTGGCAGGGTCTCCCAAGCTGAAAAGTAGTCCGGTGATTCCATCGGAAGAGCAAACCAATACCAGGATCCACTACATCCTGGTATCAAAGTTTCATGGTGGTAAATCTCTCTCTAATCCACAGAGGTTGCTAGCTAAGAGTAAACAAATACCAGGATCCACCACCGTCGAACTAGTCCCAGGGTGCAAATCTCGCTCTGATTCATAAGGGCGGCAATTGCCTGTGGTCGTGAAGACCTGGAGCAGACTTTGGCCAGGCTGACCTCGAGACTCCAGGGAACCACAATGGCTTAGCCGGCAAATCTCCAAAAAAACAGATTATGCTGAGGCCCGCACACCCAGTGAGGACGGACCATTCAGGTATTCAAGTATTCAGGATATTATAAAACAACCACTTTACGGGTGGTTTATCGGGTTTTATGGGTAATTTATCTTAAACGGTTTACCTTCGCTCGATGTTCGACGTTCGCATTGTACTGAAGCAATAACCCAACAACTTCTGTCCGTCCTTGGAAGCAAGCCAAAGTTAGTGCGGTATTCCTTAAAAAAAAAGTGTATTTCATAAAGCGTTAATGAAGCCTGGAAATCGACACTGCAGGAATAAACAAGTCCAGTGAAGAAGGAAAAGAGAAAGCCTCCATATTCTGCATAACATCAGCTCTTCTTCTAACTAATCGATCTCGCTTTCTTTCTTTTAAACCTACGTTCCAACGAATTCAGCCCTTCAATATTTTGAAATGCATCCTTTAACACCATGTATAACGCGACTGTACAGTACGGTACAAAGCCAATCTTCTGCGCCACTGCTCCGCCCACATTTACATACGTGCGTACGTGCGACTCTTTCAACATTAGTTTCAAAGAAAAGTTTGAAGAGTGGGCTCGTTTCCGCGTTTTCGTACCTGTTTGTTTCGATCTGCGCATTTATGTCAGAGCCTTGTTCTAGAAGTACACGAGTTGCCTCCTTATGACCATTCATAGCTGCCAACATTAGTGGCGATATCCCAAGCTGAAAAACTTCTAGTCTGAACTATGATTACAAAAAAGATTCAGACCACTAAGGAAAACTAAAAGTATTAAAAAGTTATTGAAATACTTTATATATTAAGAAAACACACGTTTCTTTCTCAGAAGACCATCATTCTAACCCTCTAAAAAATTCTTAGCAGAAAAAAATCACTTTACTGCCAGTTCTTGAATTGATTTCGGCACCAGCGTTTAGCAGCATATTTACTATTTCCACATATCCTCCAGAAGCAGCCAGAGACAATGGCGTATAGTCACTGACATTACGATGCTCCTAAATGGATGTATTATGTGCATGAAAACAAAGTGTAATAATAAATAAAAAGGATAAAGCTCTCGATGCTGATCAATCCCTCTATATGCGCCATGCATTCGACTTCATAAAGCATCCTTTGGAGGCGATTGAATGCATATCTGACCTTTACAATAACTCGAGGTGGCCTACTGATGCATCAAGCCAGTGCTGCTATCCTCCCAGACAAGTCTGGAATCAATTTGCCAACCCCGAAGGGATAGAAGGATTGGTGGGCCAGGGGCACGGGAATCGATCCCATGTGTGGCAGGAAGCCTCCGACCACTGCGCCACGTGCGCCAGCAATAATAAATATGCCATAAAAGTGTCCTATGCACACAGAAAGGTTGTCGTATTAAAGGGACACATTTTAAAATAGTCAGGATTCAGACTAATTTCTTTCAGTAAAAATATCTGAAGCAAGAAAAAACTGCAAGCGACTAAAATATCATGACTGCCATGGTATCCAGATATTTTGTGAGAAATATACTGATTTCTCAACAGACACTTTAAAGAAGTGAAAAAATTTCACCTTATTTGCACCTCTACTGAGAAGAAGTTCTACCACTTCTTTTCGACCACCAGAACATGCGAGCGAAAGGGCAGTATCCTTCGTACGTTCTGACTGTGCTTCAATTTGAGCTCCGCTATTGAGAAGTAATTCCACTACGTCCCGATGTCCACCCGTTGCTGCCAGTATAAGAGGTGTGAACCCCTGAACAATATTACATACCTGGAATACAGACTCCGAAGAATATCTGTACCTTCTTATCCCGATGTTCAATGTTGGCACCTCTACAAACTAGAACATCAACCATTTGAGCATGACCATTAGAACAAGCTAACGTCAAGGGAGTATCGTTATTTGATTCCGTCGCCTTGTCGACATTAAACGCAGCACGTTGACTAGCTGTTGCCCTAAACGAAACAGTTTGATACCTACGTTAATAAAAGTATACGAAAACCTCACCTAGTGATGTCAAGATCATCACCCTCACTATGAGCACGTCGCAGATTGGCGAAACCCGAGGAAGCAGGTACTGCGACGTTGGACGTTGGAGCTTGTACCACACCAAGAGCGGGAACTAGCCCCGAAACAGTTGCAGGAGAAAGTGATGCTTGTGACGCCTTTGTGCTTAAGTTCACAGAGTGCGCTACAGTGGGCAGAGTACGACGAAGTATCTCAAAGAACGAAGCTCATCGTAATGGTTAACGCGAACCACTCGAAATTTCTTACAATAGCTTGTAATGGGAAACTTGTGTAAGCTAATCACTTTTAGATGATAAATTCATGCTCACACAGTCATTACGAGAAACATTCCCTCTTGAATAACAAACTTAACGGAAAGTGGCGTACGAATATCTTGTTAGGAAATACCTGATTAGAGACTGCTCTCCCCACTGTTGCTGACTTATCTAGCGTCATACCAGGTGTACTCGGGGCCGACAATGATTGAGTAGGTAAACTTGCAGCACGAGGAATAGACAAGTTGTCTGAAAGTGGACCTTTTATACTAAAATGGACGGATTTCCATCTGTCTAACTCTAAAGACAAGCAAATTACCGCCAGCTACGCATTCCAAACGCTGTGGAAGGTACTCGTACATCGCAGTTTGAACGGCAAATCGCTTACGCATGTACTCACTCCAGTTCTGCGCGTTCTATACAGTAATACTAGATATTAAAAGAACATAAAACATATCAATCAATACAAAATTGCTTAAACGTGAAGAGCACACAAACACAAACACACCTGTTTAGTATCAGCGCAATTCAGCATCTCGTGAATTGCAGGAATCGAGACATCGGCAAGTGTCAGTGGATTCGAATTCAGACCTGTTCCAGGCACTGGTGCTTGAGGATCGAAAGGATTGACCATTGGCATATTAGGAGGATACTGCATGAGAAATGGCGATGTCTTCGTCAACATTTCGAACGCCTCAACTCTAGCCTTCATCTCGGCGGCAGAAATTGATGATGTAGCTGTTGGCTGCACGGAACAACCGCTGCCGGGAGAAGGAAATGCCTGGAAAGACCATAACTAAATTGACAAATGGGGAAAACATCTTTCGAAAAATGCAGAAGACAACAATCTATTCCTACTTACCGGTGTATTCCCATCACCTAAACCAGAGAATAATGAAGCGAACCATGTTAGTGCAGAGGTGTTAGAAAAATCTGCAGGCAATGAAACATAATGCCCGGGCTGAAAAAGAGAGTAAAGTGACTGGCAAGTGTTCACAAGAACGACGGATATATACACGATATTGACATGAAGTACATCTATTTGCTTTCAATATGTCTTAAGTTTTGAATTTGAAATTGAAGATAAAAAGGCGCCTTTCGCAGTAGGGTGCATTTCAATACCAATCTCTCTTGAATGTTAACAGGAGGAACTGAAAACTTTTGAAAGCACACTCCTCCATTGATCTCAATGAAAATGTCAAAAAAGTGGGAAAATTCAAATACTGGTAAAAAAAAAAAGTCATATAAACAGCAAGCTTGCGCATCAGGAACCACTCGTAAAAATTTGCTGAAAAAATGAAGCAGGTAACGAACCAATATATTGAAACAAACCAACGGAGTACCACTTTTGGTCTCAACGTGTTTGATTCTGCAACCGAATTAGAACTTTCAAAAACCAAAGATTAAGTTAAGAAACCTGTGAAGAAGGGAATCCTGACAAGTTGTAAGTAGCTGGGTCTGGGATAGGTACATCGCAATTCGCCTTTGGCAACGGTGGAACACAACCAGACGGGATGTTCAACGAGGTGGTTGTAACGGATGACGATTTCTTTCCACGACGCATAGTTGTTACATTTTGCTAAAATGACTCTATTACTTAATAAAACTGCATTGTTGTGATTATTGGAGTCGATCAACATGAAATGGAAGTTTTCGTTCTAAATCAAAATCAACTGAGAGAAGTGGATCTCCAACTTCACTTACTAGGAAAACCACTCAACTGTAACTTAAGCAGCAGCGGCCAGGTAGTAAAACTTCCATAAATTATCGATTTAATAAAATCCAAATAATATAAAAAATAACAAAATTGAGAAAAAAGCAGGATTCAATGAAGAGAAGTACGGTACGAAGCCAAATTGAACACAGTCACCTTTACGGAGGCCGTGGGAGTTGGTGGTGGTGGAGGTGGTATAGGCGGACTTCCTTTGTCCATTTGAGGCAAAACTCCACCAGCTACTGGTCGTGGTGGTTGAGGAAAAACGCCGCTATGATCGAGCATCATCTCTACTATGTTTACAAACCCATTTCTCGCTGCTTCCATAACACAAGTCACACCATCCTGGAAATTCAAAAACAAGAAATCGCACTCTGACTAACAATGAAATATTCCTGACTAATGCAATGAAAACACGTACCTTAAGCTCAATATTCGGATCAGCACCGCACTTAAGCAAAAGCTTAACAATCTCTCTGTGACCTGCAGAACAGGCCAGTGACAAAGCTGTCGCATCTCCGTTTGAGGACCGAGTGTTTACCTACAGTGTAACCCTTTAGTTGTCACTAACACCCACTATTTCCTAACAGATCACGTTCAATTTAGTATGATACGTAAGCCCTACATCGGCTCCTTTCGTAACCAGAAATTCCACTATTTCGGTAAAACCATTTTTCGCCGCTTTCATTAAGGCAGTTCGTCCATCGTAATCAAAATTCTAAACAGAGCACGATCAATATACAGAACACAAATAGTGGAGTTCCAACTGACTTTTTACACATACAAATGGAAACGAACCAAGTCTGCGCCATTTGAGTGCAACACCTGCAGAACATCAAAATGACCATTCTCAGATGCTAACGAAAGAGCTTGATTCATCTGTTGTCGAAATTTCACGGAACGATCTGCCTGCAAAGCAAGTCTAAATTGTTTGGGAAAGGAAATACAGTTATGTTTCACTGTACCGGTTTCACAGCAGCAAGAATGTAGTTGACGGTAGAAGCATGTCCTTCTTGAGCAGCTTCCATCAAAGGTGTATTCGTACCTAATTCTAGGTCACCTCCGTATTTCACCAATACGTCTAACACCTCGCTGTATAAATGCATCATAACAAGATCTTTCCTACAGGTAGGTCCGTAAACAATACGACTAACGTAAATCCACCACACGCGGCAACTGTGAGCGCTGTTTCCATCGTCTCATCTGTTGTTGCATTAACTTCAGCACCGTTTTCAAGTAATACCTTCACTACATGCTAAATGAGAATTATCATATGTCACATGACAGCTTAACTTCTCATGGCAACATACGATTGGAAATTTGAAAGAACCAGTTGAAGACTTAATCTCAAACTTGAAAGTTTTAACTAACCACATATCCTTCTCTAGCCGCTTCCATTAATGGAGTGTAATTTTCATCATTAGTTTCCTCAATGTTTGCACCTGCGTCGATTAGTAGCTTTGCCTTAAATTTTAATCTTGTAATCATGCAATTGTGAAGTGGCACTAATATATAAATACAAAGTTGATAGTTTATTAACAAACCAGCTCCGCGTGCCCACCACAACAAGATAGTGTAAGTGGACTTTCATAAGCCTCACTTGTTAGATTAACGGGTGCTCCAGCCTGTATTAAGACTCGAGCTACCTGGAACAGCATACATGGTTTGAAGGTAGATATCCGGAGAATCGTTCAGCTACTTTTAAATGATTGTCGCAAATAACGAAAAAAAAAAACGACGGACCTCAAGATGCCCATCCATTGCGGCTTCCATGAGAGCCGTATGCAATTCTTCATCACGAGTTGAATGATCGTAATCGTCCAGTGACAAAAGATATTCAATCACATCCGTGTAACCCTTATAGGCAGCCAGAGTTAAGGGTGATTCCTAGGTTCATGAACGTTTTTCATTAAAATGTATATTATCCATGCGTCTCATGCAAAGCTGTGCCACCTTAAATTCGCTGTTCATATTCACAAAGACGGCTTTCGCTCCTGAGTGAATAAGGAGTTTCACAATGTTGAGATGACCTGGAGAAGTAACAGCTATGAAGAACTAAATTCAAAAGTCAGATCAAAAATCGTTCCACAACGGATAACCTGCGCTCGCAGCCTCCATCAAAGCACAATGTCCATTTTCATTACGAAGATCCAGATTACACTTTTGTTCGATCAACATACGTACAACCTGTCATATGAAGAGCTCAGATAATCAATTACATCCATCTTAATTTAAAAAGAATTTAAAAAGAAATACGAGTACCTTTTCTTGTCCAGCAGCGGCGGCATAAATTAACGGTGTGTTCTGAGAAATAGAGTATGCATTGACATCAGCACCAAGGTCGAGAAGGCACTTCACGCTACGCACGTTCCCTGCAGCACATGCTTCCATCAACGGAGTACAGTCCTGCTCCATGATGAAATTCGTTGATCCACGTAGACGTACAAGCACGGTCAACAAATTAGTTAACTGAAAAAAGATAATAATAGTTGTATTGAGAAATATTTTACTATGTGATCGTCATTCCTTGTCAGATAAAATAACAAAATAATCAGATTGTACGTTTTCAGAACACGAGTTCAAACTTGTGAACTGAAATCCACAATTCGATAAATTAAAATTTGTAAATGTAAAGTCTTCTTCAAAAAAATAATCACTTTTGCTCAAAAATAAGGCGGTAAACAAAATATGTCTAACAACCTCTCAGCGGTCACAGATCATGGGATGTATAGACACCCTAAGGAGGTTACGTCAAGTACAAACTTCATATTAGTGACCGCCTGGAACTTTTAAAATCCTTCAACCAGCCCTTCTATTTTGGCGTTATCCCATTAGCAACGAATAATGTGGAACCATACTTCAACCTACTAGAGGAATACTCATCGATAATTAAAAGCAATATATTGTAATAAATATTCACGCCAAGTCATTAAAGTAGACTGGAAGAAAGGTGACTTTCTCGAGGCAAGATTTAACATTAACATTGTCATATCTCGCATCCCAAACAAGCTCCGCGCTCAGGCAATAGACAAAATGTTCTAAAGCATCCTGGATTTTCGAAATAGATGTAGATGTAACATAGAGATAACAGTGAGATGACGCATGATAGCACAATGGTACGACAAAGTACAGTTTGTGCTCTTTCACATAGTCTTATAAACGACGTTTTAAACATCAATACAGCTAAACTATTCAGAAGTTCGAAGTTCGACACCCACGGGTTAAGGATACAGAAACTGATTTCACTCCACAATGAAAACCTTCATATTATAAAGTATTGTTGGTGTAGAATATCTCGCAAATCATTATCTAGATTCAGTGGAATGTTGAACCTACGACAAATGCGTGGAAGTATAAAGTGGAAGAGTGAGTTTCTACCAAAGAGAATATAAATATAAATTCTCCCACTGGTTTATCGCCTCATCGTGACTGGGAGGTGTTCCTGGGTCTGCAATAAACAGCGGTGGGATTCATCCCCCGGCAGGGCCTCCCAAGTGAGGAGTCCGGCGTTTCCATCAGGAAGCCTAGCTAAGAGTAAACAAATACCAGGATCCACCACCGTCGAACTAGTCCCAGGGTGCAAATCTCGCTCTGATTCATAAGGGCGGCAATTGCCTGCGGTGGTGACGACCTGGGACAGATTTTAGCCTGGCTGACCTCGGGACTCCCGAGAATGACAATGGCTAAACCAGCAAAACTCCGATAGAATGGAGATTATGCTGGGCTCGCAAAACAACAAAGAGCACAAATTGCACCGTAATCTCAATAAATCATGTATTAAGGAATTTGCACCTGCATTGCGAATATTAATTCCTCGCACAAATGTGGGACCAACAGTGTAGAACTTTATTAACCCACAGAAGGAAGTAGATTCTTCGTTCTAAGTACGTACTGGAAAACCATACCCCAGCGGAACTGGCTAACAGTATCAGTCCGTCAAAATTAGCACCATATCCAGCATCATCATCATCATCGGTAGAATCTCCGTGACGATCCAAATCAGGCTGAGATGGTCCTTCCTGCGTTGCAGCCATCAGACTCTCCACGGCGCGTGTTGGCGGCTTTCTTAAAAAAATGTTTAGGTTAAAATATTTAGGCGAAATAAAATACGAATATACCGTAAGCCGGCAGCAGCGTAGAGTCTCAAAGCTTTATACACCATATCTATGGCAACTCGACAGCCATGTTCGAGAAGAAACTCATCAATGGCTTCCGGTGACATCCCCACTATTTCTGGATAGACCGATATTTCAGAGATCTGCATTTCATCGCATAACGCCTCAAACGCTAGATCCATGCGTTCCGGTGAAACGGTGTTTTCGATAGGCGAAAAGTGCTAAAAATCTGAATATCAGTTAGAAAAAATGGCCCGAATAACTAAATCATAGAAATAGACCTCGGGAGCAGACATACGAGTAGCCATTTTCACTGTTTTCACCGGACAAGCAGTGGATGGTGAACCAGGGGCGCAGAGGGAGAGGTAGTTTCCCAAGCACGCGTGAAGCTGGACGACCATGTTAGATTTGGTCAGTATCAGAAAAAAAAGTAAAATTTGTTCGAAAAAGTATTATCTTACCCTAACACCATTCTCATAGAGAACATGGTAAAGTTCCATCTGATCCTTCTTACCGACGTGCGTCAGATCAGGGAGTAGTTGGACGAAATGGCTGAGCTCCGGAATTATGCGACTGGAATTCGGGGTGGCTCCAGCGCGAAAACAGTTGGCCTTCGCCTTCGCTCCTTTGCATTTTGGGGAAGGCAGACAGTTTCCCAAAAAGTGAGGAGACTGAGACCCTGTTGGTGCAGCAGACGCAAAGGGACGCTGTACAGAAAATCGAAGAGTAAGTTTAAAAATTCGCCGAAAGAATACGAACAAAATTCTAAAACGTAGTTCGGTTTGCGCAGAACTCACGGAGTTAGTAGTCGGTGAGCTTGATTGGGAGCGCTTGCCAAGGCGGGAACAAGTTACTCCTTTCCCGTTGGAAATAGCTTCATTTGATTCCGAAACAGGAATTCCAAGGCGTTCGGCAAGCTAAATCTCTAGTACGAGTACTGTACTATCCACGCAAAACAAAAGCTATAAGACAGAGAGTCACCGACAATTCACACAGGCCCAAAAAATGCAAGAACTGCCGAAGATTAACGAAAACTGGATCACCACTAGCAATTGAACTTTATAGACAGCATACGTAATAACTCTTGTACCAATTTAGTGACTTAATAGTTATCCGTAAAAACGTAAGCAGCTATACAAAACTGATTTGCTTGAAAGAATTGGCATTCAATACGCACCGCTACAGTCACAAAAACGTTGAGAAGGAAAAGTCAGAAAACAGCTACAAACGTTTCCCATCGATGTATTAACTTGCTAGGTTAGCGCTTGTGAACGATGTGCTCGTTCTCTGTGAACGAGGTTTTGGACTCGACACTCACCTGGTCATCCACACCGGCGATGGGAATGTGCTCGTCTTCCGCCATCGGCTACTTTCGTCCAAATGCACAGTGTTGCTTTCTGAAAATAAAGACGTTCACATTGAACAAACTGGAGAAACAAAGTGAACAATTCATTTCGAAACATCGACAAATACAACCGGAAAAGACGAACCAGACAATGACCTAATCTCTCTGTCGGTCATACAACCCAGTTAGTTACTATAATTTACCCTAGCACCCCAGTCTTTACTAAAACCAACAGTAGACGGTGAATACACAAGGGGAATATCGTGTATAACTTCAGCTTAACTTACGAAAAGTGCCAACTGATCTCTGTGGCCCTCATGAGTCTCCGTATAAAAAATCAATAACAAAATGAAATGGCGAAATAAATCACATTCGTTAACAAAGGAACAATGAGACTTTTACAAGACACTCTAGCACGATTTCAGGAGACAAAGCGAAAACACCAGAATAAAACAAGTGGATACGACAATGCAGACGCCAGTTTCAACATGACTCATCGCTTATTGGAAATCCATATCAATCGAGACATCGCAGTAATTCGATAGAAGGACTTTCCATAGAACTATAGAGTTAAACATAGAGTTAAATGGAAATTGTTCAAACACTGAAGAAAGCGAAGTCGCCGGAACGACAGCTTCGAATTAGAAGCACACGTGATAGCAAGCTGACGTCAACTAAACAAGCTCAGTTCGTGTTTTAAGTAAGTGAAGACGATCGACAGCCATTTCAACCACAACGAACACCAACAACAACCGGCTAGAAACTGAGTAGAACGGAGTTGGGGTCGGCAGCGACGCGCGACTCGCGCTAGCTCGTGGAACACGCCCGGCCGTGTCGCCGCCGATGCGGGACGCCGCGAGCAAGCGAGTTCCCGGTCGCTGAGCGCCGCCGCCGCCGACGTATTCGGAGCGGTCCCGGTGGGCTCGGACGGCAACGGACCATGTCGGGCTCTATGTGATCGCCATGATCGGCTGAAGTGATTCCCAGATGTGAACAACCGTGGCATGTTTTCGGTGATGTGGGAAGCTGTTCGCGGAACAACACGCGTCACTAGATATGCGTCCGTTCGATCGTGATCGCGCATCGCACCGCCCTACAGACAAGTGGTGAGACGGATGATCGATTCTACCGATCGACGGTGGTGATGACTCGTTGAAATCGATTCCGATGGCGGTTGCTGGTTGGTGTGTTCGTCTTGTCGTAGCGAAATCCGCTTGTCGAAGAGCCTTCTAAGGCGTGCTAACAGGCCGGTGTAGCCGAAGACCCCGTCAGATCCAGCAGACCCAGGAGCGATAAGCAATGACTATTTCGTTCACAAGATATGGAAAATTTCAAAGTCGCTCCCCTTCATTAAGCTCAATGGGTATCAACGTAGAAGACTACTCGTCTAGGTCGCCGATTTCTTTTTTTTTTTAAGGAAATGTATTGCCTACTAGTCGTGTTTTTTCCAGAGAAGATGTAGAATTACATAAAACTATTGCTCCATTTCCGTACTGTGGTCGACAGGAAACAGATGAAGGCTAACGAGCTGGCAATAGGCTTTTTAGCAGATGTGTAGCAAAGTGGAATTCACGCAGTAAACTAAGCACTAAAAAGATAAAGAATAAGGCTCTCGGAGGCTGGTCAATCCCTGAGGGATACACCATGCATTCGACTTCATTAAACATCCTTGGAGGCGATTGAATGCATATCTGGCCTTTATAATGACTCGCGGTAGCCTACCGATGTATTGAGCCAGTGCTGCTATCCTCCCAGACAATTCTGGAACCAATTTACCGAACCCGGAGGTATGGAAGGCTTGGTGGGCCATGGGCGCGGGGATCGATTCCACGTGTGTGTTCCAGGGTGCCTCCGACCACTGCGCCACACGCGCCCCTAAACTAAGCAGTAGATTTCCTGAGGCCTTGGTTTCATGCTTGTAAACATTGTCT